GTTACTGTGTGTGACTACTTCAGTGGATTATCTCACAACAGAATCTTGCGCAGTATGACTCGTTAGAAGAAAATGGATAACTCATTAGTTATAAAAAAAGCAAAGAATATCCATTATATCTCAACTCGTAGTTCAATAATGCATTGATCAACTGCCCAGCCCCCTTTATGTCGCTGCAGAAACAAAAAACGCGGATGCGGTTCACAGTCCAAACTGTTGTTACCAAATACGAAAGGTTACACGTCAGTTCAATTATAAAGAGTTACCATTGCAAGCGCGATAATGCAGATATCATTGGAACGTGTAACTTCAATATAAATTGGTAAAGGAATCAGGGAACTGTTTCTAAGAACCAGCATTCTTTTTCAAATTACTTTACCAATACTTCGCCAATATAATTTTTCTTGCGTCGTAAAGCGGACTTATCAAAATTTAGATTAAACCAGAAAATTGTCGTCTGAGCAGGAAAGCTTTAAACACCATGGTAGATCAGAGTGTAGAATCTGCTCTATATCGGTCTGATAAATTCATCCTAATTGATCCTCTCCATTCCCTGCACCAAGATATTTAAAAATGCACTTAAAGATCTAATTTCACGAGCTGCAAATATGTTTGCATCTGCGCGAGGACTGAAAATCTGCAAATCCGAGAGATCGTTAGGGCTTTGAACGAGCTACGGGAAAAGCGGAATCTGCTCGAATCTATATAATCCTAAAAATTTATCTGCATTAATTTCTATCCACCAATACCGCTCATTATTATCATTCTTAATTCCTTGTCTCATTCCTGTAAGTTCTGTCATTTCTTGTGCATTATAGGTATATTGTTATACTTATGGGTCAGTGATTGCGGAAATGTTAGTTGGTACTGGCTTAAAGAATTATTTCCGCTAATTTAAGCAGGAAACTAATCCGATGCGCATATAAAACTCTCCATTGCCAAAATCTTTAAAGTGTTTGCCGCGCACAAAGTTTATGAAACGAACTCATGACCTGTCAGATCGAGCTGGATTCCTCACTAGAGGGGTAGTATGCAATAACCATTGCAAAGTTTGATTTGTTCGTTTGGATTCTGCCATGTTTGGTTAAGCTTGAAGATAGGGGACAGATACAGCATCTTCTGAAACGTCGAGACTTCTTTCATAAAATTTGTGCCAGATGGGAACACTTAGAAGGTGTTGGCGACGAGTATTAGCGTTAAAGAAGTATAGTATTGGCTGTAAAGAAGGAACGGTGCCGTTACATCCTGAAACTGGACATCAGTGTTGACCGAAAAAGAAAACGAAACGATGCTTCTTATATATATAACTTAACAAAGTTCTGGGCATATGAAACTAAGTTGAAGTCTATTCACTAATGCGGGGTTAGTCTAAAACTGCACTGATGAGATAGCGATAGTCTGGATGCCCAGTCGTGATGCCAAAAAATTGCAAGTGAATATCCTTCGTAAAGTCATCGGACTGACGATCAAAAGGCAATGTCATGGCCACATGCATGAAGCGAAGTGAACATTTAGTTTTATTACCGTTTGACTCTGCGTCGTGAATAAAGACATTTGATGTTTTGAACGAATATAAGAAACTGCTGAAACGG